TGGGAAAGCCTTCATGAAGAGCTCAGCCCTTATTGAACATTGGAGAATTCATACTAAAGAAAAACCCTATCACTGTAAGAAATATAAGAAGTCCTTCAGGCATAACTCTGGCCTTGTTGAATATCTGAAAATCCATCCTGGAGAAAAACCTTATGAATGTAATGAATGTGGGAAGGCTTTCCCTCAGAATTCAGGCCTCAGATGATATAAGAAAATTCATAGTAAAATTCAGAATTTGAGCCATCAAATGTAGTTTGGTAAATCATGCAGAGATAGTTTATTCCTTTTTGACCATGAAAGAGGAGACATTCAATAAATTACATACTTAACAAATATATTCTGTGACCCACTGTCCTGGAAAATGTCTCACTAGTGATGATACTCACTGTAGTTTATACTATTGTCTGGTTTATACTAGTGAAATATTTGAAGAACTTAAATGTCTGTATGGAAACATTTACTACAGAATGCCATGTAGCACGTGAAAAGAATGAGGCAGAGCTCTATTTACAATCAAAAATATCTACATGATACCTTAAGCTAAAAAAGCAAGTTGCAAAGAATTATATTGTATAAATGGCCATATTACCCAAAGCAGTCTACAGATTTAATGCAATCTCTACCAAATTACCCATGACATTTTTCACAGAACTAGACAAGTAATCCTAAAAGTTACATACAACCACAACAGACTCAGAATTGTGAAAGCAATCTTGAGGAAAAAGAACAAAGTTGGAGGCATAACTCTCCCAGACTTCATACAGTACTACAAAGCTACAGTAATCAGAACAGAACGGTGTTGGCACAAAAACAGGGATCAGTGGATCAGACTAGTGAGCCTGGAAATAAACACAACTATTGTCAATTAACCTTTATCAAAGGAAATAAGAATGTACAGTGGAGAAAAGAGTCTGTTTAGCAAGTGGTGTTGAGCAAGCTGCACAGTTGCATGCAAATCAATGAAGTTAGAACACTCCCTCATACTATACACAATAATAAACTCAAAATTGCTTAGAGACTTCAGTGTAAGACATAACATCATAAAAATCCCAGAAAAGAACATAGACAAAACATTCTCTGATACAGTAATATTTTCTTAGGTCAGTCTCCCAAGGAAAAATAAATAAAAGGAAAAACAAGCAAATGGGATCTAATCAAACTGCACAGTAAAGGAAACTAAACAAAAGGAAAAACAATCTATGGACTGGGAGAAAATATTTGCAAATGATATGACCAATAAGGGCTTAATTTCCAAAATATATGAACAGTTCATACAGCTCAATAAAAAGTAAAAGCCTAATCAAAAAGTGGGCAGGAAACCTAAATAGATATTTCTCCAGAGAAGACATCTAGATGGTCAACAGGCACGTGAAAAGATGCTCAGCATTGCCATTTATTGGAGAAATGCAAATCAAAAATACTGTATATACATATATATGTGATAAGTGAATCACTTTTGTTGTACAAAGCAGGAAATCTCTAGCATGAAACTTTGCAAACCACTTTTGACACGGTCACAACATCTCCAAACACTACAATTTTTTTTTGCATTTCAGTTTCATTTTTACCATTCTTGAAATAATAAAGCATAAAATGCTGAAAAACGTTGCTTTTTTCTTCTGTCTTCAATATTAAAATGTCTACACAAAAACTCACTGATGTTGACAAATTTTTAAAAAATGCATACTGATATGACAGCTATCACTATACAGTCTAATAAAATTATTTTGAATGAAGTTACAGACAAGCACTACTAGATCCATCTTATGGGAAATACCAAACAAACATTTTGGCCAACTCAAAAACTTTATTTTATAACTTGGATTGCATCTGTGTTAGCTGATCTAAACCTTACCTCCTATTTTGTCAAAGGGAATGTTTATTTTTAAACCTTAAGCTTTCCTGTGAACCATAAATCATAGTTACCTTTTTTATCAGTATTAAGTTGCTCCCCAGATTTTTCATTTTTTCAAAATAGTTTATCCTTAAGAAATATCTTTTTTTTTTTTTTAACCATTCAAAATTTATTCTCCAACAGACAGCATCAGCAGGTAAAAACTACAGGGGTTTCTCCATAGATATCTTAACTAATACTGCTGTATAGCAAATAACCTGAAAATTTAGTGGTGTAAAAATATAACCTTTAATTTTTTGCATGATTTTGTGTGTTTGGAAGTTGGCAAGAAAGGTCTAACTAGCGGGTTTCTCATCTAGTTTTCATGAGGTGTCATCTGGGGCTTTAGTCAATCTGTAGATTCTCCTGGGCTAGGCATCTACTATGGCTCACTCACATGACAGAGTTTATGCTGACTGTTGGGAAGTAAGGTGAACCTGTCCACTGGAGCACTTACATACTGTTTGTCCAGCAGAGTGGCCTTGAGATAGTTGGAGTTTTTGACTTAGCACCTGGTTGTCTCCAGAGTAGGTGTCCTGAGAATCATGCAGAACTTTTCAGACTTTTAAAGGGCTTTTAGACCTATTCTGGGAAGTCATGTAGCATCACTTCTACCATGTTTCATTGTTTGAAGCTGTCACAGGCCTACCTGGATTTAAAGGGAGATGATATGGACATGAGATGGGTATCAAAGAACTGGGCAGTGTTTTAAAATTACTTCATTATTAAACTTTACATACACTATATATATAAAGTGTATTTTACATACCTACATGCATGCATAGATTCTAAGTGTTAAGTTCAGTCAGTTTTGACAACTGTATATACCCATGCATCTATCACCTGAAGAAAGAATAGAAGATTTTTTCTTTGTGAGCTTGTCTTGTGCTTCTTTCAAGTAAGGCCCCTCCATCCCTGTCCATAGAGGCAACCACTGTTTGACATGTTTTAACACAGATTAGTTTTTTCTGTTCTGTGAAATCATATAAATGGAATTATATATTTGTATGTGTATGTTTGGGTTCTTTTACTCAACACAAATTGTTGAGATTTTTTTTCTATGTTATTGCGTTTATCAGTTTTAAAATTGCTGAGTGGTATTTTATTATGACTGTACCATCGTTTATTACCTCGCCTGTTATTGGACCTTTGGGCTGTTTTCAGTTATAAATAAATGAGGATGATATGAACATTTTTATATGCATCTTCAAATATTATCAGGGTACTTTAGGAGCAATATTGTATTACTGTTGAAACCCAAGGGGTGTCCCTGGTGATTCGGTGGTAAAGAATCCGCCTGCCAGTGCAAGAGATGTGGGTTTGATCCCTGGATGGGGCAGATCCCCTAGAAAAGGAAATGGCAATGGTATTCTTGCTTGGGAAATTCCATGGACAGGGGAGCCTGGTGGGCTGCAGTCCTTAGGGTCGCAGGAGAGTTGGACATGACTGAGTGACTAAACAATTCAAACCCATAGTGTTTCTATGTTCAAAGATCTTTTGATAAAATTTACCTATTTTCTGTCAAGTTTCTTGGGATCCTCCAAGAATAGGAGCCTTCAGCCTATTAGGATCTACTAGAGGGAACCTATTGGAGAAGGAAATGGCAACCCACTCTAGTATTCTTGCCTGGAGAATCTCAGGGACAGGGGAGCCTGGTGGGCTGCCGTCTATGGGGTCACACAGTCGGACACGACTGAAGTGACTTAGCAGCAGCAGCAGCAGAGGGAACCTGTGGTTTATAAGAACCTACAGTTTATAGAATAAAGAAAGAATGAGAACCTTATCAAGAAAACCATTCTATTTACATCATTCATCATTTTAATTACATAAAAGCTCACAATGAAAATGTAGAGATAGCTAAAGTTAAAAACAGAAATGGAAATTCTCTCTTAAAAGTAACTTCTTTTCTCTAATATTCCTCAAATCTCATCTACTAGAGGTTAAAAAAAAGTTAATAGATTATCCTTCCAAATTTTCTTCCAGTGTGTCCATGCATGTGTGCAGGAAGAGGACTGTGTTGTTGGAGGACTGGATCTTCATTATTGACTACAAATCAGTTCAGTAATGAGGACACTTATGCCCTTACTGGGCTTCCCAGGTGGCCTAGTTCGAAAGAATCTGCCTGCCAATGCGGGAGATGCAAAATAGTTTTGATCCCTAGGTTTGGAAGATCCCCCAGAGGAGGAAATGGCAACCCGCTCCAGTATTCTTGCTTGGAAAATTCCAAGGACAGAGGAGCCTGGTAGGTACAGTCCCAGGGGTCGCAGAGTCAGACACAACTGAGCGACTTAAGTGCACACACACATGCCCTTACTGGGTGATTCTGAGATATTGCTACTGCTGCCAAAAGGGAATGAAAGTCATCATATCTCTTCCCAAACTGTAGATACTTTTCTGCTCTTTGGCTATAGGCAAGTAATCTCTATCCTAGTTAGGAGTGGAAGACTGAAGTGAACCACAGTGCAGACTTAGAAAGGATCCTGTTTTGCAAGGAAAGGTTAGGGTCTCTGCTACGAACATGGGTATTTGTTAGAATATGCTCTTGAGGCTATCATCCAGATAATACAGTGTTGAATATGAGAGATTATTACATTTGCCTCATAAATTCTGCCCACTGGTCTTGAATGTAAAACAAAATTAATTTGAATATGTAGAGAAGAAAAGAATCTTGGGATTGGTAAGGGGCTGGATTTTTTGAATAGGCCGATGGTGTCAATTGCAAATATAAAACCTGTACCTGCTACATACATCTCCAATTGTGTACTAAATTAATGGAGGTACCTTAGGAAATCAAGTCGAAATAAATGGACAGAAATTATGAACCATACGTGATAATGATAATAAACAAGACATTTATTTTTCATACTCATTTCGGGGGAAAAAAGAAAACTCAGTTTGCTCTACCCAGTGATGGTCTTTCTGAAGGAGTCTCCATTCACTCCATAAAATTGGATAGGCTGTTTAATCTCAGGTGATTTTATGCTGTTAATTCATAAAGAGAACTTCCTCTGAAGAGAGTGGTTACAAGGTGAGCCTTTGTGAGCAGCTTCGCTGGTGCACAGCCAGACTCCCTCTCTGAGTGAAGCTTTTCCCACACTGGCCACACAGATAGGGTGTCTCTCCTGTGTGGATTTTGCCATGCAGAACACAGTTCCCCCTGGTGTGGAAACTCTTCCTGCATTGTGCACAGGCATAGGGTTTCAGGCCTGTGTGGACTCTGATATGAACAATTAAGCTTCCTTTCTGACTGAAGGCTTTTCCACACTGATCACATCTATAGGGCTTCTCACCACTATGAACTCTTCTGTGAACAGCAAGGTTACTTTGATTCCTGAAGCTTCTCTGACAAATAGCACACTCATAGGGTTTCTGTCCCGTGTGGAGTCTTTCGTGAACGGCCAGACTACCTCGTTGACTAAAGCTTTTCCCACACTCCTTGCACTGATAGGGCTTCTCTCCTGTGTGTATTCGTTGATGTGTAACAAGATTGCCTTTGGCCCTAAAGCTTTTTCCACAATGGGTGCACTCAAAGGGCTTCTGACCAGTGTGGATTCTCTCATGTAATGTTAGACTACCCTTCTGCCTGAAGGATTTTCCACATTCCTGGCACTCATAGACCCTCTGTCTCACTCCAGGTGAATCTTCCTGTAGTGTCTTAGAATCTGGGGATTTTTGTTCCAGCTTCTCTCTTCTGAAAGAATTCTGGAAATCCCAGCTTGAGGATCCTGTGGCCTCAGAGTGATCATATTTTTGGTGGGCTTCTGTCATCACATCTGGTAAAATGAGAGGGAAGTCATGTAAGATGCACCAATATGCTGAGTGAGAAGAACAGGGAAAAAAGAAACAATGCTTTGAGTGCTTATTATGTGCCAAATAGTATACTATAAACTTTGCATAGATAATTTAATCCTGAAAACAATCTTTTGTTATAGTTAAGAAATGAATGTATAGGGAGGTTATCAAAGATCACTTCTAGGTAAGCACAGAATTAGGACTCAGACACAGGCACGCTCTGTAGCAGTGTACTGCCTCTAAATTTAGTTTAATTTAGCTTCCAAAATAGTCTTGTGTATAGACATGATTATCTCCATTTTACAGATAAGAAAACAAGCCAAAAAAATAAAACTATATAAGATCACATTTAGTCCCACACTGAAGTTTTATCTGACACCAAGACAGGTGTGGATCCAGGTTGTATGGGGCCTAACGTTTTAAATTTTGGAGAGATTCCCATTAAAAAGCAATATAAAAGTAGGGGTAGGACCTTAAAGAGACCAGTGTAAGGGAAAGCTCCTGAAGCTTAAGTTTTGTAGGCTTCATGAGAAATCCATCTCTGCTCCAGTCTGCTCTCCTTAACAGTGGAGTAGAGTAGGCCTGTGCTGTCAGGATATATGTAGCAGAATCCTGGATACTTTACATTTATTAATTTTAATCACTGCAAACCTGCAAGATAGAACTTATTGTCCCATTTTGCAGATGAAGAGCCTGGAGCTCAAGAAGGTTAAATAACTTGTCTAATACCACAGATCCAGTCATGGCAATCATAGAATTTGATCCAAGAAATTTTTCCCTTTAAAATCTATGCTGTTTCAATCTGCTAAGCTATGGTGAAACTGAAGTCAGTTTTGGTTTGGAAGTTTTTCTCAATCCTTCCTATGCAGATATTGACAGTATTTCCCAATATTGCCCTGTATATGAGCCTCCTACTGCACTTTAAATATGAGTCCATTCATCACTAGTAATAGTTTTCTTGTAGTCATCCTAGGTAGATTTCAACTTGCTCCTCTGTCTTACCAATTCAGTGATTGTGCTGAGATTTAAAACTGCTCATTCATTTTCTCAGATACTACCTCCATATCAAAACTGTTCCCTTGCTGTTTCTAACTTGAGCTTGTAGGCTTTCCCTGTAAGCCCTAAAAATAGTGAGTTTCACCAAAGGAACATCTTCTCTGCATCCCCAGCCTGTTGTCCAGTGGTGAGAACAGGGACACTGATTACTGTGACTTGAGGGCATCCCAGCAATCACCAGACTCACTGAAAAAGGCTACATTCTGGGCATATCTTCCATGACAGTCCAGCAGGGTAGCTGTTGGAAATCCAAACATGTCCACTCCTGCTGTATGAGCTTAATCACCACCTCTTCATATGATTCTTCCATGGGCTGTACTTGAGTACCTAAGGAGGGAAAAACAAAAACAGAACAACAAAAACAGGAATGGATAAGAGAATTGATAAGTGAGAACAGTCAACAGGAGCTCTGGTTTGGGGTATGAGTGAATGGAGGAAATCTTGTTTGCCTGATGTAATACCAGTCATCTATAACATAACTGCAAAATGGGCCAAGAGGTACCATAGCTACTTATAAATGAGTCCAGGAGAAAGCAAGAGGTGCAAAAGCAGAGAAGACAAAAAGCCAAACATGTTTCTCTTACTGCTAATGCCAAGAAAATGGTCCTTACTATTTGTACCTTAGCTTTTGCATGGGATTGGAATCTTCCACTTCCTTCCCCCGCCTAACTGCCTGCTATTTTATCCTCCAAGCTTCCAGAGGAATTCAGACTATAAAAAACAACATTTCAGCCTTAATAACTGGTTCTGTGATTGAAATGTCTCTGACTTTCCTCTCCAGTCCCCTTTATATTATTAGGACAGAACAAGAGCTTTCATATTTCCTTTTAGCACTTCTTTGGAGGCTCTTGAAGATATGAGAATACTAGTTCTGAGGAAGCATACTACTTGTCAATTCTTGGAAAAAGAACTACTTCAGATTCCAAATCCAAGTAACTTGCCCCAAGTCCCAGAGCGAGTACGGAGTCAAGGTGAAGCAAAGGTTCAAATCCAAGACTTCTTGGATCCAAAGCCTATGTCTAAACAATTCTTTACTTTCTCATCACTAAAAAGCGAATGGAACAGAGCTTGACCAGACTACTATTCTTCCAGATCCTAGGAATCCTCCTACTCCATATTATCATTTTCTATTTTGGGGGGAATATTATTTCAGGACCCTAATTACTGAATTCTTACACTTAATGCAGTGGTTCAGTGTGTATAATCTTTGTTTCCCTCTAACATATCCCATGAAAATGCTGGCCTTCTGATTTAATGAAATTAGCAGTGTGATGCTACAGTTCTTTGTTAACCCAAGCATCTGGTCTTCTTGACAGCTGCACCTCCTGCTACATGTTGTGATGACTGTAGAGGCATTAAAAACTCTGATTTGAAAGACTCAGCTCCAGTTTGCATTGCAAGCCACAAAGCAGTGCCCTATTGGTGTCAGGACATCACAGCACCATTCACTTGGAAGTGCTAGATCAACCACACATCCACCAAGAGTCACTGAAAAGTACATGGGTACCTGCTGCCTGAGGCTGGACCCTGTCCTTGGTGAGTCAGCAAATAGTTTGCTCAGAACACCTTGGGTAGAATCTTCAGCTGTGCCTCTTCACAGGCTGTGAGATATTCAAGTAACAGCTCAACTATGTTTCAAGAACCTCCTGATTAATGAAGGGAAATTGCCATATTTTTCTCCATAGATTCCACAGGTGTGCGGAATCAAATTCCTGAAGATTCTGTAGAAAGACACTTTATAATAGAAAATATTTTTCCTATCAAGAAAGCCATTATATCCTGCTCACAATGAGGCCACGAGAGACGAATCCTACCCTCTGTCTCCCCTTAAATGACACTGGAGAAGGAACCAAACAGCCCTGACCTACTCACTCACTTAATAAATGCTGTAATATCAAGTAGCTTCTGGGAGAATCAGAGAGTCAAACGTGAAGGGCCTCTGACATGACCTAACAGACTTAAGGCCTAAAGGTGAGAGTCCTCGCTCAGTGAAGGACCCGGACAGGGGGAACTCTGCTGTATCCGGGGCATAGTTTCAGGACTAGGAGATTCTGGGGAGGGGTGATTATTTTCCCCGCACACCGGAATTCACTTTTTCCTTTCCTATTTCCCTACTCAGAGGAATTTGTTCTTTCTTCCACCCAGCCTAGAGCCTGCATTTCCCGTCTCCATCTTCTGAAGCCCTCCCCGCGGCCCCAGAGGCACACCTGCCTATGGTCCCTCCCGCGTCTCCAGGTGCGGGGCCTTCCCGCACTCCCGGCCCTGCCTTGCAGCAGACGGGCCCCTGCTCCTCCCGACAGACTCTCTGCCATTCCCCGCCTCAGCGATTTCCCCACCCGGGCCCGCGCCGGACCTCAGCACCCCGCTCTCCGGTCCAGCTAGACCTTTTCTTGCGGGCCGCAGACCTCTCGCCTCGCAGCTGGCCTCTCTGGGGAGGCTCCAGGCTGGTCAGGCCTGCTCAGGGACGCGAGGGGGTGGGGGTCGGAGGCGGCGGCCTGAAGGCGGGGCCCTGCCTTGTTTGGGTGTATTGACCCAGCCAGCGGCCTCACTCACCACAGCCGCGCGCGCCCGCAGACAAAGGCCGGCACCGAGCCCTTAGGAACGCCGGCGCGAGTGGACCGGACTACAACTCCCAGGAGGCTCCGCGCGAGCCCCAGCTCCGTGCCTTGGCGGCCCCGGCTTCCCCGAGCACTGTGGGAAACGTAGTTCGGCGATGCGACCCGCTCGGCGGGTCTAGGCGAGCGCTGGGCGCTCGGGTCACTTCTGTTTGGACCGAGTCAGAGGCGCAGATTTGTTCGCGGTCGTAGAGCGACGACCAAGAGCGCCAAATGGCCACTCAGATTAGCTAGGTATGGGATGGCAGCTTGGTGAAGCCACCCTCCGAGCCAGGGGTCTTGCATGGCATTGTGGAAGGAAACAGTTGGGAAGAAATGAGTTGATAAAGCCTGGGGTGCTTAGGTTTTGTGTCGAGCAGTTCCCTGAGCCAAGACTAAGTGTTCTGAAATTAGAGTTCCGAGGGAAGGAGCAAATATTTCAAGCGAAGTCTGTGGGAGAAGAGAATTTGAAACACCACTGGAGAATTCCAAGACGTAGTGTCGGGGGAGTGTGTAATTTCCTTGGTTCTGTCTCCTGGCAACAAAAATTTGAAGTGATGGATGGACCAGTGTTACAGGTACATGTTACAGCTCAGTTTTATCTAGAAAGTAAAGGAAAATACAGCTTCCCGGCATGAGGCCATGCTGACCCAAAAAACAGAAGAGAGGCCCCCAGGCCCAGTTTTGGCCCCTCTTTTTATATGTTTTTTCTCCTCCCCCTGAGCCTTCCCTATGTAAACTGGGCTAGCCAGGAGGGCTGTTTGTTTTACCTGTGGTTCTCACTGCGGTCCTCAGACCTTCCTTTGTTCTTCTTTCCCGGGCTTTCCCCTTCCTTGTCCTTTAACCACCGCCATTCTGGACTCCTTTTTCCTATTCTGACTACCTAACAGTAGGAAAGGAAGGTAGTTCAATCTGATGGAGAGCTATGCCCTTCAGATACTGTCAGTGAGAATTTGCACCTAAAATAACCTGTAAAAGATCAGGTTTGGATTTCTCTCGAATTTGCTTGTCAGCTCCATCACTGACTAGCTGCAGGATTCTGGACAGGTTTCTTACCTGGTGGGGAACCAAGGTTAGGATCGGTGGCAGCTCCAGTGGCTAGGTGAAGGCTTCTTGAAAGGCTCAGGGTCCTGGCTAGCCTCCTCCCCCAGCCCCATCATATTGCTTCAGAGCAAAGGCAGGTTAGTATGTGAGTCAACTCAGAAAAAAACAATCGTTCTGCATGTACCCCATGAATTATGGAGAGAAA